GACTGGATTAAAAAAGTTGAGGGTGTCATTTATGGAAGTGTTCGATTAGGTGTGTTGGATCTCGTTCTTAGTAAAGAACTATGTCATCGTGCAATACGACAGGGAAGCAACACCTTTCCTGCACTTTGGCAGCTGAATCGATATCGGCTGCAACCATTAGCACATACATGTTTTGATATGTTGGCTATGAATAGCGGCTGCATTTAGTACCTTGTCTGACACAAGGGGGGTTTCTCTACCGCTTGATTCACACAAGACGAACCGCGATAAGGCCTCTATTGAATCGCTGCATTCTGGTTTGGCAGCAATTCCTCAGAACCCCGATTTTCTGGACCGAGGCTGAAGAAGGTTTTTCACAGCGAAGTTCTTGCATCATAACCAAACTCGGAATATTGATGTCATCGAACCCCGGAGTCAAGACCATATTTAAACACGGCATATATATATTGTGCACAAGAAGACACATACGACTCTGGTTGATCATGCAGCAACACGGACATTCCATTATGCCATATTCCTGCGAATATTACTTCTTTGCAATTTTCATGCTTCGTCCCAAAGGCTAAATCTATGTTCATATGAAATAATGCCTACACCCACTACTATTCTCCTCCCTGATGGTTACACGCTCAATGTAACCCCAGTTTTCGGAGGATTTTCCTTTAAGGCTGCTAAACTTAACTCGAGTGAAGGGAGCCTTTTACCGTCAGGATGGTCAATCGTGATAAACTCCTTGCGTGAGCCTAAGGCCTCCAAAACTGAGGCAAATTCTGATGACTATTTTGACGAAACCCCCAAAAACGAAGACAAGAATCCATTCGAATGGGAGTCAAACCGTTACACCCACCCAACCCTAGACAGCGACTATTTCTTCATATCATCAATACACTTTGCTTCAAGTAAAGCTGTTGTACCCAAATCCATCGCAACATGTCAACTTGCACTGATTCTTTGGTCAACCTTATATTGGTACTTTCACCAAGCGGCGCCGAGTAGCCGTCTCACTACCAAAGAGTCAGCTGCGGTTCCAGAACGAGCTCGACCAAGGGGGGAATGGGTGGTACATATCAGGCATGAAGGGCTTCTTAAGGGCCGGAACTCATTGCTTAAACTGGAGAGGATGGGTCTGGTCACGACAGAGAACTCAATCGTTGGGCTTGAAGACCCAAATGGTCCTCCAGAAAAGCTGGACATGTTCGTCAGCCGTAGGAGCTTTTGGCAGATCGATCCTCATATCTTTCTCTTCTCTCTTACGCCTGATATGACTCCAAAGTCAGAATCGCCATCTCGTTCAGGGACTAGCTCCCCAGCAGACAGCTACAACACCGGAGGCCGGGGTAATCGGATGTCCGCTTCCCCTGCTCCTCTTGGGTCGTTTTATTCCAGTGGCCATGTACCATCCTATTTTCCTCCACCACCAGCCCAATGGGTCATGCTTGATGGGTGGCTTCGGCATCCAATCCGTCAAAAACCCCCTCGCCAAGGTGAAACATTTTACATCCGCCACATCCCTAGTCTACAGAAAACACTATCATTTCGTGTTCCAAGTCTTTTTACAACTTCGCCGCCTGATACGGAGGAGACTGCGTTAGGCCGGTACCATAGGGCGCTGTGCATAAACCACAATAACATGCTTGAAAGTATCAAGCCCCTGGTGCTCAAACCTCGGGGATCAGACCTTGAATTCCTGCATACGATACTAAACACACCGAAAGCTAAGGAAATATGGGGTTCAGGTGGACCGGTTAATGTTCAAGAGGAGTTTATCAAGGCTCGCCTTACCTCTAAGCACCTATTTCCTGCACTAGGATGTTGGAACGGCAAGCCGTTTGGATATTTTGAGATATTCTGGGTCAAGGAGGGATCGGTACAGCGACCGTTGCCTGTCCTTGTTGACGATTTTGACCGGGGTATCCGATGTACAGTTTTGGATGAGGAAGATAGAAGGCCTCATCAAACCCAAGTGTGGCTAAACGCACTTATCCATTACTGTTTGTTAGCAGACAACAGAACCCAGGCTATTGCTGTCGGACCCAGAGTTGATGACGAGGAGTAAGTAATCCCCTTTATTGTTATCTATGCGCTTCCAAATCAATTAACAACTTTCCAACAGGTATCTTTCCAGCCTTATCGAAGCGGGCTTCTATAAGGAAGGAGAGTTTGCCCTCCCACAAAAACAATGTGCTATTATGAGGCTCAAGAGGGCCAATTGGGAGGCTCCAACGCTTTAACATATACGGTCATTCTGTTTTATTATTTATTATGTTTCTTTGTAGTTGTTTAACCTTCTAGTTTCAGCGTTTAACCAATATATCTGCTGGGGTCACGCGTTACAGGTGAAAAGTAAGCATATCTAGTTTTAGACAGCTGATCTGAATTTTTCTGATATGCCATATCAATGTGATAGTATTAGCAGCCGTGCGAGTTAACCAATTTGTGGCACATAGACGATGAAAAGCTGCAATAACTCGGGATATAGTTTCGTTGCGGAGCGGCTGATAGACGCCGACTCTGGTAAGGCCACGATATTGGCACATTAAAGTAAGCCATTTAAAATGGCGTCTGATATGCTGTGGATGTCCCCGGTGCTAATTTTCCTTGGCCTCACTACTAGCCCCTGTATTAGCCGTACAAATTTTTGGCTGGGAATAAAAGAGGCTGGTGAAGCGCATTGAAGTGTAGTATCTCCATGGCAGGTTATCGGGTCTCATAATCAAGAAGAGAGTGCCCTTGATTTTCAACTTCCAGATAGCTGAAGACCTTCCATTTGTCTCATTAATGTCGAACTCCCTTCCTCCTCCTCGACCCCAACAAATTCCACACTCGTTTTTGGCCGACTTTTATTCAGTCCTTCGAGAAGCATACACGCCTTGCATATTTTTTGACTCGACATATAGCCACACTTTTCACATTGTCCTATCGTTTGCGTCTTTAGGGGTTTTTGCTTCTTGTCACGGCTTTGGATTGCCACAGACGGATATGTCGAGATAGATTTCCCGGGTTTCTTTGGCAGAGAAGATAGTGATATCTCGACCTCACGAGACTTAGCGTCTTCATCTTCGGTGAGCTTCTTCTCCATATCTGCCATTTCTCCGCCGCTGCTTCTTCCATTCTGACTTCCACAACCACCTGTGGAGAGCTCATCGACTCCATTGGATTTTATGGATGAGCACCCGGTGCCTCCACATACCTCAGTTGGCACCAGTTTAGCCATATCCTCCCCGCTCCGGACAATATCAAGAATAGCGCTAGGTCGAATTCTCTCTAGATCCTTGATAAGGGTCCTGGCACTCCCTCTAAACGCTTCTGGGGAATATATGCACTCAGTGCTGAAGTAATCAAGCTTTTTATGGTGAGCATATAGGACAATCTCCTTTTCATACGCATATTTCAAAGGCTTGCTCCTTTTGATATCGCTGGCGGCCGAACCCGTAATTATGCTGGTCGAGCGTGCAAGACGAGGAAGGTCACCGCGTAGTAAATTCATCATAACCGTTTCCGCAACATCGTCGGCATTGTGTCCGGTAACAACGTGCTTGATATTCAGTTTTGCAGCGCCACGGTCAAGAGCCTGGCGTCGAAAGACACCACAGTATGTGCAGTTACCCTTTTTCCCAATTTCTGCAACAACCTGGTCCATTGTCCAACCATATAGTTCTCCATAGCTGACTATTTCCAGTGGCATTTCGTATTGGACCGCATTTCGCTTTACCGTCTCCAGACTATCATCACGGTAGCCCTTTATACCTTCGTCAATGGAAAGTAAAACCAGGTCAAGGCCATAATTATATCGCTCGTTCAATGTCTTTAAGACAGAAGCAAGAACAGTACTGTCTTTTCCACCACTCGCACCAATAGCAACCCGTTCACCAGGAACGAACAGCGAGCCGTTTGTGATTGTTTGATGGGTTTCTGTTTCAAAAATGGTAAGGAAGCAATCTTTGCATAACTTATGGCGGTTTTTCGGTCGAATTATAACTGCTCGCGCAGCTTTGCAGTTGAAACATAATGTTGGAGGCATGGTTATATCTTGTTTCTTCTTGCTCTTCCGCTAGTCACTTCTTTCTCATCACTTCGAGTGTTGTCGCTCATTAATATTAAATCCTTGGGGGGGGGGGGGGGGGGGGGGGGCAGATTTTTGTTATCGATAAGCCCGCCGTAAATTAAAGTTTGATATATTCACGTGCCATAGTCGCTTAGTCACCTTTCATAACTATCGCGAAGAAGCGCGCGTCTGCTGTTTACGTCTCTTGTCAATAAGGACAGATATTTTGAGGGTTAATGCTTTTAAATATTCGCATGTTGACGATGCGGAAAACCGAAATTATGAATGACATTTTCTATATTTCTATAGGCAAGAGTTGCTAGAAATCGAACAAAAGGCTTGCTACCGCAAATTCAGAACTCAGTACCGTCTCTAGGGTTTCCAATTTACCCTTTTCGCGACAAATCGCGCAACATAAACCAGACCTAGCAGCACAGGGACTTCTATCAACGGACCAACGGTGGATGCCAGCGCTTGGCTACTATCAGCACCAAATGTTGCAATTGCAACAGCGATAGCCAGCTCAAAGTTATTACTCGCCGCAGTAAAACTCTGCGTTGTTGACAATCGATATCCAAAGCCCAGCCGATAAGTGATATATAACGTGCTGAAAAAAACAATGACGAAATATACCAGAAGAGGTGCAGCAACCCGAACCACGGATACAATTTGGTCAACAACCTGCTTTCCCTGGGAAGCGAAAAGTGCCAGAATGATGAACAGCAGGCCAATCAAGGACCAAGGACTAAGCCACTTGATGAATGTATTATCGTACCAGACAGGCCCAGCAGTCTTCCGCAGTGTAAATCGGGTGACTATGGCAGCACCGAGGGGTATTCCTAAAAACACAGCAACGCTCTTTGCGACAACTGGATAGGACAGCGGGATTGTGCCCTCTGAATGGCTAATTATTTTGATGAATAATAGCGCAAGGGGAGCAAAGAGTACCATCTGCAATAATGAGTTGATGGCGACTAATATCGCACAATATTCATTGTCCCCTCCTGCAAGGCCCGTCCAAATGAGAACCTGAGCGAGGGCAGTCAGCAGACATACACACTAGGAGATGTGAATCGGAGATATACCATGGCAATACACCTTGCTAGACCAACCAGAATCAGCCCCTCTCGCAATTCAGGTTTATCTGGTAGAAACGCCCATGCAAGCGCCAGCTTTGAAATGGATACATTAGCAAGTTTCTCGGTCGCTTAAGCTCAGATCAGCATGTTCTTACCATGAGGAACGGAGCAATTATCCAGTTTATGAATATGCTAAAAGCCATTTGAATCCATATCTCACGAGTTCTGAATACTTGATGCAAAGACTCGAAGCGCACTTTACACAGAATTGGGTACATCATGACGAGCAATCCGATGGCTTCGTGAAAGTACCGGTTAGTATCAATCTCGACCTAGTCATCAAATAAAGGCTACAGAAGATGGTCTCGGCCCAAGAATCAAGGTTGAGAAGCATGGATAACTTACAAATCGGCACCGAAACCCCCACAAGGGCACCCTTCTGTAAAGAACGTCCTATGTTATCAACAAAATTTCCGAGTATTATCCCGATTGCCATCGCTAGAAAGATCCATAGGGCCAAATATCTGTCTAGAATACCCAGGTTTCTAAATATCGATGTTGGCTCCTCTCTTCCAGCCGAAGGAGAATCCTGTGGTAGCTTTTCAATGTCTTCCATTTGGCCAGGAGCCCCACCTTGACACTCCCCCATTTCCGGCTCTGCTGCTGAAGCAGACATACCTGGCTTGGGGTATCAGAATAATGCTATCGACATTGACCGAGAAATGCAACACTTAAGAAGCTACAACAATGCCTTCGTATTATGCTTTTATTATCGTCACTCCGGCACTTTTCCCACCAATGCCAAGAAATACAACATGTCATCAGGTGCATGTTATTGGTCAGAATCTTAACTACACGTGACTTTGACGCTAGGGATTATTTGACTTTTACTTGAAAAGAAAAAGCAGAAGCAACTACAAGCTTAAATCTCAGAAGATGAAGGAAGACAAGACAGCTGTGGCTGACTAAAATGATTTAAGGCGTATCTGATGATGAACTGCTAGTATACCCTCTGCATGATCGCATTCCATCCATTAGTATCCGAAAAGCCACACAAGGAAACCCAAGGCCTAAATGATCTATCTTCCGAGGTGTTAGACCTTGAAGGGGAATCTTCAAGACGGGCGGGAGTCATCTTACCAGAATTCCGACTTGGCCAAGTTTCACATTGCAGAATGTTTAAGCAATTCACCATAGACACTAAAAAAAGGTATAACAAGAAGAGAAGCCCTGGAATCCATGACTTTTCCGGCAAAGTCACTCATGATACCGTTCACTGATTTACTATACGTCACGGTTTTTGCTGTCAGCAAATGCTTGTTTTGTTTGACACCCACCAAAGTGCGATATGATATCACCGATGCAAGATAGGATTTCAAAACCTATCTGACACAGGTTCAGAATGCTCGGAAATTACTCACTTGCTAAATTGAAAATAAAAGTGAGTGTCAGTTCTTCCGGGTTGGGTTCTTTTTCTTAAGGCTTTCCTGGGAAAACTTACAGCACCACCTCCAAGGAGGCCTCCAGCTAAGGGCAAGCCTTTTACAAGGCCTCCAGCTGGTAGATTGTCAACAGCGGATGGTGCGACCTTGCCAGCCTTGAATAATCGATCAGCAAAAGTCACGATCTGAAGATTTGTGCGATGTTTACTTACAGCGCCTTTAGCTGATTTCTGATAGAGACAAAAATGCCACCACGTTAGCAAACTGCTCAACTACAGCTGGTTTTTCAATCAGTGATGTTGATAACGTACGGCGAGAGTAGCAGCACTCTAAAGAGATGGTTAGCAAAGAAGTCCATTACTTTTCACAGATTACAGCCTTGACGATGTGTTGTGTCCATTGGTACGGTAACTTACCCCAAGAGTTCCAACAACAGGGAGGTCTCGCTCTTCAATAGGGGCGGCAAGAGCCAAAGCACCGGCAAAGAAGACAAGGACGGCCTGGAACTTCATTTTCGTAGATAGATTCTATCTCTTTGTTAATATATATAATTTTTATATTGCTAGGTGGGTTCGTTCTGGCAGCTGGCAAATTCACCTTGATAGAGTTTGGTTGGTGAGGAACAAATGAATGTAAGGAGTTGGGATAGTAGGAGAAATAACGAGTGAATGGATGATATTGAAGATGCGAGAGATAAGAGGATGAGGAGGGTTCAATGCCTGCTATTTAACACCAGCGACCGGGTCCTGTTGGTGTTGATGCTGCTACCCCTGATTCCGTGTCATGGCAAGACGGTGCTCGACCCGGCGACGTTGTGTAACATACTTGCCGTCCGACTTTTTAACCTTCTGACTGTTTTCCTTAATTCATTGCAAGCCTTGGAGTGAGAAAGTCGAAGTCTGTTGCGGAGATTGTCTAAACGGATCAGCAGTTTCTGTGAGAGGTCTCACAGGGCAACATTTGAATGTGCATTGGCAACGCAACGCTCAAAACAGGTTTCTTCACACACCGATCAGCGTCAATTTCATGATGCATCGACACCGATTTACTTGATGGACGGCAAAAGGGGTCGAATATCAGTACTCTTACTGGCCATTGATCAACAGGTACCTGAACGCGCATGAAATATCAGGGGAAATGTCCTCGCACACGCCGTCGAGTAAATTATATAGCCGGCCTATCCCCCAGGACAGCGCCCCTGTGTATGTACCTGAGCTCCAGATCTTTGGACTATTTTCTGTTCTCGTGTAATTTAGATGACGTGCCATATCGCCCCCTCTCCTATTTTATAGTGACGGAGCACAAATTCATTTCGCAACCGGCGGTTAATGCCACCCAAAAAGGAATATCGGCCTGCTTTGGTTGAATATCCCCGCAAAATAGAATAGTCTGTTGCTAGAAGTTGGAAGGCAGGGCCAACGCATATCCGTCTCATCTTCTCCATAACGATGGGGTACTAAATCCACCTGTGCTTTTACGGCGGCATCCCAGGGAACTCGGGCTCAGATGATATCTAATTTATCTGGAGAGGGGGCGACAACGCTGCAGGTGTGGATCACGGGGAACAAAGGGCTCATTGAGACTCATCCCCAGGGCTGGTTGGTCAAGTAGCTGAGCTTGGCCACTGGACGGGATTTCATGGACCCAGAAAGACATAGAGGACAAGATCAAGTGCTGAATCCTTCTCCTGCTGGGAAACGGAGCCGTCTTTTACCCACCAGGATAATACACAATCAGGTGAGAAGAGAAAGAAATGCAGAATATTACTACCAACCGGGAAAGTGTGCATAGTATCATCCTAGTGTGTCTTCCGCCCAGATGCCATATCAAGTGGATGATATAGCCATGAGGAAGTGGGCGTAAAACGCAGGCGACATTGTTTATTCCTTCTACCAGGTTTCAATGCCTTCTGGGTTATTCGCCATCACAAGAAATACTCTGGTCCCCATGCAAAGGATGGGTTAGATAGAGCCTTCTTGTGCATACGTAGTTATTGAACTTCATCACTCAAGAAGGGGTCCAAGGCTGGGGGTTTGTAAGAGGGAAAGTTCCCTGACGTAGCAGGACTTTACGTGGCTTCTGCAAGATGCTTTGCTGAGCAGCCTCCAGTTGGTTGTATGGAATCTGCATGATTCTTTCCAAACAATTCTCTTTCGACCAGAGTTTCATCTCTATGGCTCATGGTCACTTAGGCGTTGGCTCGGGTGAGTTGTATTGTTGGTGGCATATAGTTGAGTTAGTGGATGAGGTCCGGTCCTGGAGTAGAAGCGCTGAGCAGCAGCAGCCCGTGCAACGGCTAGTTAACTAACTAGTTAACCAGTTGATTAACTAGACATGCTATTTTTATCCTGCAAGAGAGGGTAACCAACGAGCTATGCTGAAGAAACAAACTGTGATATTAATAACTTGTTATCTGTTGGGATCGTCAGGCCCAAGAAAATGGGCGGCTAGAGAGAGCATAAAGGAAGCGAGAGGGCTCGAATGTTGACGAATCGGGAAAGGCTGACTAGTCAGTTAGTTAACTCGCTGGCCGATGACGTAGTTAGTAACTAGTTAACTAGTTGATGGCTCTGGACCTCGAGACGTCAAACAGCATCTTGACATCCAAGGCATCAAAGACGCGCTACCATCGTCCTAATAGGGTTGTTTCCTGCCCCCTCGACGTTTGAGATGGATAGTAGGTAGCGGATAGGGGGCAGACGGCTCTAGATGATACCACTGGATGACACTGCTAGCATCCACCGCGCTTTGTTGTCATCATGATGCATACATAACATGCACTCCGCCTCGGGAAGATATGAAAATACACCATTTTGACCGAAAGGGCGATTTTGCACTTCATGGCAGATAAAGGAGGTGTGTAATAAGGTAACTCATCTATGGATGGGAGAATCTATAGGCAATGGGCCCATTGGTTAGTTAGCTGTCTTGCCAGTGACACGAATATAGGACCTCTCAAGTAGGCAACTTCCTTAAATTTTACACTGCACCGTCATGCTAACATTGTAATTAAGGTACGCTTGACATAAAAAGAATACACCGGCCATGTGTGCCTGCTTAGTTCGCTATGAGTGTTACAAAAAGAGAAGAACGGTTTCTGGGGTCATTTCACCTACCTTGCATGATCTTCGAGACAGACTTTGCCATGCATAGAAGTCGGTCCAAGTGATGTCTGGACTGTCCGTCGCAAAAGACGAAACGCAGAAGTTGGCACCTATGTTGGCGGCGGAAGAAAAGTCATGCATGCATGGGCTATAGCGGCCTCATACCGACTGGCAATCCATCAATCTCATCCGATTCCGCGGTTTCAACTTGCCTAGGAGGCTCCCTCGACCGAGTTCTTCCCTGTTTCGAAGCTTCAGGTGCTACCCAATTGTTTCTCTGTCCCGTTAACGCTGGAACTGGAAGTCATACCAGTCAGGAAGGCCGTTGAACGCCAACAGGGGCATCAGTTGCCTGCATCCAAGGTGCCGAGAGTTCCTAGCCAGGGGCAGGGATGCAGCCAGTTCCTTCATGCTTGGGGACGACGGAGTACCGCAGCCGGATCTTCAAGCTCCGTGCTCTGTATGGGGCCGCTCACAGATCCAAACTCCTTCCAAGGCACCCTTGTTTCAGAACTAGTTAAGTCGGATGGAAGGCCAAAAGATACTGTGAATTCGCTTTAAGAGATTGTGGCGATTTCCTAGAAGACCCACGTTGGAAGCCAGATTCCGGCTGCCGAACGGTGTACGACAAGCCGAGATCACGACGCTTCCAACTCCATCCCATCATTCAAGAGATGCCCTTTCATACCTGGAAATGAGTTATTTGTTGCATCCCCTGAATTGGAAGAATGACATAGTGCGATATGGAAATGACAAGGGCCAGCATCCGAGGGTGCATAAAAGTACTCCGTACAAAGCAAACAGCTAATGTTCTATTTCTGTGATCAGAGTTAGCGCCTGGGTGGAACTAGAATCGCTGAAGGAACAGGCAGTCAGAGCATCCGGAAGAGCAATCAACCAAGCAGCCTTGGAGCCAACAGATAAGGGCTGAAAGGAGTCTAAGCAAACCCACCTGTCATAAAAATAACAGCCTTGCACGCTCCATGTCTTCTTACTAAGTCTACGCCCTCGGCTTGACGGGAGTCTCTCGCTATGGCTATGATTACGGCTATTATTGGCCCCAAATTTGGTCATCACCAGGATCGAGTCGAACTGCCAAAGAGACGGGCGACCGAGTACGACAACTACAGTAGCTCAAGTAACTCCTATAACACAACCAACTACGCTGCTGTCTACTCTGTATGGAGTTTATGATTAACCATGAATAATGGGCGAGCAGTCCACCGACGTACTGAGTTACACACTAAGGTCTAGCTGCATGCAACGGCCTAGAGGAACAGGAGAACGGCCGCTGCAGTCCTATCACACGAGCTTAGGCTCCGCTCCCATGACATTATTGTCCCAGCATCAGGAGAACAGCGACAGGCGACAGGCGACAGGCGACCGCGAGAACGAACAACGCATCGGGAAGGACGAGGACTCGTGATGAAACACATGATAAAACACAGCTGCGATGACAAGGGCGTCTCTCGACTCAGCGGCATCCACGTCGCTCGTCAACCACCACCAACCAAGCCGTGTTGGTTCATGCTGGATGCTCAGTCGCATCAAACCCACCAGACAAGACTCAAGGGAATAAAATGGAAAAA